TCCTCTTGTTTATTTTTGCAAAAGTATCCCTCTCTTCTTGTATTTTGTATTCTATACACACACATTATACAGCAGGATAAAGCTTAGCAAGAACGCCTATTCAGAAATAAGCTAAGCTTTAGTCATCCTTCTCTTCTCCTCCCATCTCAGCGCTGACATAAATAGCACTGAAATAAGCTGAACACCATTTTCACAGGAGACACAAAAGACACCCGGTAGACAGAATTTCACAAGTGATGATTCACTAAACAGTGGCTCAGTGTGTATGTGTGAACCAAAAAAAAAAAAAGAAAAAGGAATGCACTGTGCACAGCAAAGGGATTACCACCATGGAGATGCAGGAATGTGAAATATCCAGAAATAGAATCATCCAGTTGCACTTTTATGTATGTCACAACAACAACTAACTGTATCCAATTAAGCTTCATTTCTATGTTTCCCATCTCCTCAAAAAGGAAGTATGTCCTTTCCGTTCATCCACCTTAATGATACAGAGTTAATAAGTGCAGGGCTAAGTGATCAATCCCATTTTCATCCTTAAAGACGACACATCTGCAGGCTACATCTGCCCAAATAATCCCCTTCTACCTCTCTCTCCTCCTTCAATCCCATAAACACACAGACGCCTTTCTGTACCCCAATGGGGGGGGGGGGATTCTGTCTACATGGCAGTAGGGACTGTAACAGGATTTCTGCAGGATCACAGGTCAGAGTGGGTGGTCATACCTAACTGAATAAAGGGAATACAAAAATCAAATCATCTGCAATAAAAGCTGCATTATTTCCTTATTGTGAATGATTTGCGACCTGCTATGGAAACACTGGGAAATCACAATATTTCCATAATCGGATTTATTGAGGAAAATGAAAAATGGAGGGAGGGGATTCACACATCCATCTATCAAGATGTCCCACACATGGGTTGTCTCTCTTCTTTTCTTTTTTTTTACTGCGCAGCCGACAGTACACAAAGACAGGCAACTCATGTTGACAGAGAATGATCACTATGTAAACTAAAAGAGTCACTTTCAGAATAAAACATGAGCGTCCACAAGGCATGTAGGGTAACACTTCAGAGTGCCACCTACACAGTCTCATGAGGTGACTGTTGCTGCAGCAGGAGCAGAGACAAAGAGACAGCTTCTTACTAGGAGAGGAAATGTGGCTTTCAAAAAAGGTCTACCACAAAAAAAAAAGCAACCACTGAGGAAATTTACCATCTCCTAATCGTGATATATTCGCCTAGCTTTCGGCAAGTACTGGGAATTAGTCCCTGCGAAATCAGACAAAGTCCTGGGTTCCTGTCTGCTTTTGCCGTGCTGTGCAGCCTGTAAGGATTGATTGCTTTCGAGATGGATAATAGGAAGACAAATGTGCAGGAAATGAAAAGAGAAAATGACAACGGGAATAAGATAAATCGAGAACGTAAGACAAAGAGGGACTGGTTGGGAGATTAGTATGATTATGAAGAACAGATTGCTACAGCCTGCAGGAGAAAATGAGAAGGCGAAAGACGTGACACGTGTGTTTATTGACTCATTGAGGCTCAGTTAAAACACACACACACACACCAACAATGATCCAGACTGGAGATAGCATAGTGGAGAGGAGAAAAGAAAGGTTGTGTGACCACGCTGGATGCTGGTTGCACCGCATTGTTATTTGCAAAGCCCCTCCACCCACCCGCCCACCTACCCACCCACCACCCTCGCTCCTGTCGCAGAGAGAAATGTTAACTCTTGCATGTCTGGCAGGGGGGAAACTGTACGAGGGGACAAAGAGGAAAGGAGGAGAGAGAGGAGTTCACTTCAGATGCAAAGCAGAGGCAGACAAAGAATTCTCCGTGGGGCCGCAAGTTGGCACATGCTCACCCAAACACACGCACAGACACACACAGACACAGAGACGCACACAGTCAGACATAAAGCGGGCAAGGTGAGAGAGTCCAGACAAAGAGAAGCTGAGTGCAACTTCAGCCAGGCTGAGTCACTGGTGTTTATTTTAGGAAAATATGATAATAGAAAGAAATGATGCTGCAGAGAGAAAGAGAGGGAGGAGGGGGTGGAGAGGAATGTTGGGGGGGGGGGGTTTCTAGTGCAATGTGTGAGAGTGTGTATGCATGTGTAATGTGCAAGTGGCAAACCCCAGAGGTGAGGGGGAGGGACTCCTGGCAGAGGATCAGTGAGAGGTGAGGAAAGAAAGAAGCAGGATGAGGGTTTTTTGAGGTGGTGATGATGTGCAGAAAAAATATGGTAATGGTTGGAATGGGCTGTTTTTTTGCATAAAGGAAGGGGAGAGAGTGCAGGAGAGGGGCACAGACCTCCTTGAGGAAATGCTGCTCAGTTTAACACATTCTAGCAGATGTGTTTATGTTTGGGAACTTGGAAAAAAAAAAGGCTGAATAAGAACAGTGATGTACGGTGTGGAGAAGTGCCATAAAATATGAACGATGTGGAGTCACTGAATGTCTCTGTGGCCTATTACAGCCAAGCACTCACAGTTCTGTCCTCATGAAAAGGACAACTGCTGCCTGCACTTGAGTTCATTCATAGACGAGATGCATTACTTTGCTTAACCGCAGCGTGCTGACTGATATGCTTTCAATGAACCAAGCCCACAAAATACATTAAAAAAAACTGTAAAGTCAGTCTGTGGAATCCCTGTTTAAATGACTGTTCAAATGGATACACAAATGTAAGTCTTTCATGTTGGCTCCCCCACAGGATAGGGAAGTGTGTGTGTGTTTATATGTGCATTTGTGTGTCATCAGTGGAGGAGTGCCTCTCTGTTCACCCTCTGATGTCCTGCCTGTGACTGCAGGGGAGGAGCTACAACAAGCTCATTGCCACCTTCCAGACAAAGGCAGCGTGAATTTGAGAATGTGCGTGTGTGCATTTGTGTTGACAGTTTTCAGTCACACCAAATTCACTCACGCAATTGAGTGCCACTAGCTAAATAACACCTTTTTAAAATCCTTTCAGATCATAACACAGATGAGTGAGTCATTTGCTTTTGGTCCCTAAATAAACATGTTTAATTATGTTTAAAAAAAAAATCTTTTAATAATAATCAAGAATCCATTGCATTTAAAGTAGTCGTGGACATTGAGCATACTTGTTTGTGCACAATAAAGAGAAAAAAAGAAGAAACACAAGTAAAATGGAGAAAAACAATCTTGTAAATACTAATCTACCACATGAAATTGACTTGCATTTTTTCCTCATCTTTCTCCTTCGCTTCACTTAGCTTCTGTCGTTTCCTCCTCCTCCTCCTCCTCCGCTTCTCTTCTGTCCTATTAAATGACCTTGAAGGTCGCACCGGTGCGCTACACTCATGGGGTTTGTGACAAACTGTCTTACCTGCAGAAAACAACACACACATACATAACTCCTGAGCCTGAGGACGTAAACACACAAAAACACACACATCTACACACACACACACACACACACACACACACACACACACACACACACACACACACACAGAGACACACAGTGTTGCTGCAAGTGGTTTTCCTGGCAGAGATCTGCTGAATTGATTGCTGTTCAGACTTTGCAGAGGTCAGATGTAATGAATCAATCACACATGCATCAGCATCAGGAACAAGCCAAGGCCACGGGCTCTGCTGCCCTGCTTTGACGCCGTGTCAGCCTGCACATCAGCATGACTGCGAGGGATTGGCAAGATTTAGCAAAATGGACTGCAAGATCCATAGTTGTGGGAAGTCTATAATAATGGGATCGATAATGACAAGTCTAATAATCACAATTTTTTTTTAAAACACCCCATATCTCCCATTATCTACCCTCCATGTGGTTGAGCAATGAAGCCAAATGCTGAATGGTTGCAATGCAAAAAAATCCAAGAAGTAAGAACTACAAACAAGTGATACACACTAACAAGGACACAAAAACAGCACCCTGCACAGTCTCAAGGACAACCTGATCATCAGACACCACTCAGTCAGGACAAGAGACAGCTGAGCGTGAAAGACATGCCCCCAATCTGCTCACCTTTCACCATTCACTACTGTTTTCCCTCTACACCGGCCCATCTAGGTAACACTAAGGTGAAGCTGAGGACATGCATGGGAGATTTGGAAAAGAACATAAAAGTATTAAACATCTAATAGGGACTCCTTTGGATGTAAGTAAGAACAATTAGAATAACGGGGAGGGGGGGGGGGACAGGCAAGTCTCAGAGTGGCAGAGGAAAACTGTAACCAGAAATATATATATATATACAGTTTATGAATAGTTTGGCTTTTTAACAGGAAAATAATGATAAAATAATTGTGTACATAGACTACACACTTTTAATCAAATATTGAGCACACAAAAATACTTCCCCAAAAATGTAAATGCACACTAATGCCCTGCATATTTATTAAATAACAAAAAATAAATACAGATCCCTCCACCTCTCAGTACAGTGGATCATAGCAGGAGTCAAGTCTAAAGCCTGGATAATCTATATCTGATCATTAGCATCACCCACAGAGACCTGACCTGCTCCATTCATCACACCAACCAGCTCCTCACTGCCTGACCTCTCTCTCTCTCTCTCTCTCTCTCTCTATCTCTAACAACACCTCACTCTCTCTCTAGCTCTCTCTCTCTCTCTCTCCCTCTCTCTAACAACACCTCACTCTCTCTCTAGCTCTCTCTCTCTCTCTCTCTCCCTCTCTCTAACAACACCTCACTCTCTCCTCTAGCCTACTACTCCACTTAAAGCACGAGCCTGTTATATATCACAGTTTTGTTTTGCAGAAATTGGCTCTGAAATATATATAACATATCTTGTCAAATGGAATAAATAGACTGCAAAAAAAATAAAAAATGATCAAGGGCACATTAAGCTGAGAATGCTAACGAACCGAACCAGAACCCAAGAGACCCAAATAAAACGACTCCAATACGTGCGTCACTTTTTAAAAGCCCGATTCTGACGGCCGACACGTCGTTACATAAAACGTATTTTCCACATGAGCGTCTTACCTTCGGGTTTCTTCTGATGTTAATTCATTCAACAATGCTCGGAGTTGCAAAACGAAAAAAACACGCGCGTCTTTCCACTCTCTCGCTCGCTCTCTGCCAGATAGAAAGTGTGAGGAGAGAGGGATGTTGCGGACAGGAGGAGGAGGAGGAGGAGAGGAGGAGGAGCGGTGCTGATGCTGCAGCACCTGGCATAGCATCCTTCTGTTCAGCCGCACGGGCCTCTCTCTCTCTCTCTCTCTCTCTCTCTCTCTCTCTCTCGCCTTTCGCTTAACACTCTCGCGCCCTCTGCTGGTTCATGTGGGACATGTGATGGAAAGTCTGGCCATGCTATGAAACAAGTGGATAAATCAATAGATATATAGCAGACAGGAGAGTGTGGATTTTGTAAATCTTATTTTTATTTACAAAAGTGAAGCATTGAAACATATACAGACATGAATAAAGGCACACAAAGGACAAGCAGAGATGACTACCACATGAATAACACACAGAACACCATACATTTCGTTTAATATTTAAACTTTCAATGTTATTTTTTTCTGTGAGAAGAAATGGAAAAAATTATTATCAATGATTTGCTATGAGCCCGTCAGTTTCCCTAATTGTGATAATACCCACCAACCCCCCACCCCAGCAGATGGCGCCAAAGTAAAGACCTTTCACATTCAACAAATTGGTTTTCAATGTGAAATTAACACCCCGACACAAACATAAAATAAAAAGGGCAGAAACTGTCACACATCAGCATTTGAACAAGGAAGTCATATTTGATGGCCATTTAACATTTAACTGAACATCTACAAAAAAATAAAATATAAACTTAAACAGAATGGACTCCAGAAAACAAACAAAAAATCAAATCTTAACATAAAGCCATCTTCGTAGCTTTGCCTGAACTATTCAGTTCCAACTTATGGCTTCATGGAAAGATATCTGTATGAAAACTGCTAAAAAAAAGAAAAAAAAAAGGCTGTGCACAGTGGATGAAAGAGCCTACGAAACGCAGCTGAACCGTGAGGCTTTTTACTTTCAAGAACAGACTTTGATGCCCAACAAAAATGCACTCCAAGTTAACGACAATGCTTTAATGACACTGAAGTCAAGCTTTTTCTAAGTGCAGTACTGTGCGTAAATGCAGCCTGAGGGAAATAATGATCGTCTTCTATGAGGAAATGTTCAGTGAGGGTAGATTAAGTGATTATAAAGTGAGAAACTCTTGATTTTTAGTGAGAAATATGAATTAAAAATTAAGTTTTGTGCTTTTCCAATATTTACACCTTATACCATTGAAGCAACAAAGGGCAAATGAGAAAAAAACAGACTGAGAAACAGATAAGACAGTCATGAACACTGCATGGGGATGGATTTCAAAATATTGGGACACCATTTAAGCTTTAATCTATGATCTAGTATGTCATTACATATATTCATTTAGGTGAGATGTGACATGACATGATGACATCATTGAGATATAAGCATTGATTTTTACCAAAACAGATTTTGACATACACAGGAATCCCTTTGTAATGATTCTACAAGGCTGTTCATGATCATTTCATTGGGGGAAATATTCACCATCATGGATAATTAAAAATAACAAAGAGAGCTTCTGCCTTGTGTTCAAAATTCAACAAGGTGAAGACTCTCTTGTGTGAACGTCATCGGGACATGTCAGTCGTGCAAGAAATAGGTGAAGTCATGGATTCGTAACCACACTGTAACGGCCATAAGCAGCATTACAGCAGCTCATTACTACTCCAGGAATCATGTTTCTACTGCAGTGATGCATCCTGTGTCTATAGCTCTTAAAACGGCATTGATGATAAATGAAGGCGGTGAGGATTTACAAAATATGTAAACACAATGTACAGAGCATGTCAGACATGCAGGGTGACTTAGTAAACGCCTTTTCTACAATTTACAAATAATTTACTGAGAAATATGAACAATACTTTATATATACAATCTTGATTACACATTTTGACCTCTGGACAGATTTTATTCATCAGCTTAGCATCAATGACAAGGTCTAAAATTATGTATGAAGGGATACTAATTGTGTTGTACCTTTTGTGGCTGTAGAGCAAGCTGTACATACTCTAGTAAATTGCCTCAAGTGATGTCAATTGATTAGGATGAAGACTACATGATTGAAAAGAGACACAAATCTGGATTTGTGGTGTTAGAAATAGGTTAATGAATGATGAGTGAGTAAGACCCTTACTGGAGGCCAGTGGCCTGAGGTTTAATTAGCTGCAACAAGCTGTCACAACAAACTCTCCAACTGATTATCAACAATCAAGTTGCAATGTGGGTAATGTAGGTGAAAGTTAATGCATCAATGTTTCTGTTTAATCATTTACATAAATGTTTAAATCTGCCAGATGAAATGATTTGTGTGTTTACCTAATTAAAAATCTTAACTTTATTCAGATTCAACGTCTGAAAGACACAGAAGTTACGATATGTAAGGGTCTGGATGATAAGAAGACATTAACAAACATCACAAAGGGAATCGTTCAGATTTAGAACAAGAACATTTATCCAGATTGAACATCTGATCTGTTTTTTTGAGGAACTGTGACACGCACAGATTCAACAGACACACAGCAGCCAGCACTGTGAAAACAAAAAATCAACTACCATCTTTAGTGACACTGTCAGACATTCATCAGCTGTCAATGTCCTGAACTAATGTTTAGCATGTTTCACAATTCACATTTTATGTATTTACTAAGAGCAGCAGATAGTTCATATTGCAGACTGTAATTTAGAAAATGTTCATCTAAATGTCAAATCAGGTAACTCTTTTTAACATTGTTTGGGACTGTTTCACACATACTGTATAGGGGGATGGCGGTGGATAGAGTAGGAAATAGGGACCCAAGGACAGGAAGTATGCGACATAACCCCTAAGCTATCCAGCGCCACAACTCTTGATCAAATTTGACTCAAATCAAAGTCTTCCTCAAATCTCTATTTAAATCTTAGTAACTCAGATTCCAACAGGAGACGTTGTTAAACTGTATTTTTACAGCTGTTTCTGCATCACAATATGCAGCCAAATCCATGGCTGATTATTTTCCAAACTGCTCCCTGCTAATACTCTTAACACCCAGGGAGGCCAAGCTTTCCCTTTTGCAAGAAAAGCCTTGGACCTCAGATGGTATTAAAGCAATCCTTTGGACTTAAGGGTTTGACTCATGCTAACTGTAAGCTATGGCTTCCTGTCGGCCGGCCAACGTTCACAGCCATCGGCCATCTAGCCTTTCCGGTTTGTGAACAAGAGAAATTATATTATTATCACGGCGAATGTATTGTGAAATCCTGCACTTATCAGCCTGTTGGAGATCATTTCAATCATTAGGTTGCACAAGAATTGGAAAAAGGTTTAGCACAATCTGTATTTCTCACTAACCTTTAAATCAGATTTTTTCGGATTTATGTTAATATATACATGTTGTAATCGGAAGAAAGGCACCCAGACAAAAGCTGTTACCACATGTGCACATTGTCCCACTGCCAGCAATGTAACCCAGACACTCTCCAGAGAAGATTTTGTGACCCATCCTGAGGAGAAACAAATATTATTGTCTCCCAGAACCTCCCAGAAACACTGACATGATTCATGTGTTTAGCCTGAGCCCTCCCACATCAGTTAGCCAGCGACAACATGCCTCTGAAGCTCAAGGGCAGCAAAAGGTTTAACAAAACTATTTCAAAATACTGATGTAACATGAAGGAGCATTTCAATTATAGCTTCAGAAATCCTGTTGTTCTAACCAGCAGTCAAAGGGGAGGGGGGGGGGGGGTCACAGGTTTCTGAATTTTAGGTCAAGGTTACACATTAAAACTTCCTTCAAAGAGGAGTACTGCCAGTGAGGGACTGGGAGTTGTGCTGTCAAAAATAGTCTTACACAGACTGGCGTCAGGGCAGGTTGAAATGTAAGCAGCATGTTCTAAGGCTTCCTACAAATCTCCATCGTCCTCTTCCCTGGCTTCGATCCCATAGTGCAGGAAGGCCTCCTTTTCTGTGGACCTGGCCTCTGATTCACCGTCGCCTTCCATCTCTGTTTCTGGAGATGAGCGGGATAAGGAGCCCTCAGTACTGTGATGGATGCCGTAGCAGAAGTATATAACAAAACCTGGAAGAGGAGAACAAGATACAACATTATCACCTTTTCAAAAGTATAGACTGTTTTTTTGTCAGATTACAAAAGCTTGTTTACTGGCTTCAGTTTGTTTCTTTTGTCAAAGCTCCAAAATAATAGCTATCATCCTGAGTGCTCGAAGCTATTCATTGAAGTCCGACTTATATTTGAAAGTCACCTTTTGATTGCAAGAAAATATTAGGGCCCGACCGATATGGAATTTTTGGGGCTGATACCGATATTGAGGAGAAATAAAAATCCAATACCGATACAGCGGTCGATTTCTTTCTTTGATCTTTGTTTGATCTGTTTGAACACAATTATTGCGTTGATCCCTCAAATGCAAACACTTGTGGAAAAGATATACAGTATAACCTAGACAAGATGGTCACTCAACTGGAAAGTAACTGTGCATGTACATTCATCACCGCTTCACTATCTGGAGAGTGATATTGCTTACAGCCAGAAAGAGAACTGCTAGTATAATTCAACGTTTCTTAAATGAAATGCTATTTGAGTGGAGAATTAATCTAGTTATACAGTATCTGTGCATATCTGCGATAATATAAGCCGATACGATAGTCACTTGATAAGCTAATATCATCTGATATTACTGGCTGGCCGATTTATTGGTCGGGCTCTAGTAAAAATATATAAGAAACGTTTTCCATAATCATAATAATACGCTTTACAGCGTCCATGTATACATTTGGCCACCAACTCTCAAAACCCAATGCTTGATATACTGCCAAAAACAGTTTCTATTTTCTGCTGGTTTAACCCAAAATTCTGAAATAATACATATGAAGATAAAAAAGCAACCAAAAATACATTATTAACCTGATTGTATTTGTTGAGGAGTATACGGGTGACGCCTTAGCCTGAAACATTTTCACTTTAAGGGACATGTCTGCATCTAGAAAGTCCATTTAAACTCCTCTGTTGACCTACCTATCACCATCCAGATAGAAAACCGTATCCAAGTGCCTCTGTCAAGCTGCATCATCAGGTAAACATTGACAAACATGCTGACGACTGGAAGGAAAGGTAGCAGTGGAACCTAAAGAAAAGGACAGACACACAAATAAGAAGCACAGTTTAAAAATAATCTAACCGTTTTTGTTCCAAAATACTTAACATAGAGAGAGTTTCTCAAATCAAACCTTGAAAGAAAGCTTCGTCTTGCTCTCTGGTTGCCTCCAGACGATGAAGGTGAGAAAGCCACACACCATGAAGATGACACTGAGGATTACGATGTTCCAAGAAGCGGTGCCACCCTGCACTGCGAGCACACTGAACGCCAGGATCAATGTTCCTGCAGAAGTTCATTCATATTTTCTATTATTATTATGCAGAAGTGACATGAACACTATAAATTTAGTTAAGAAAGTATAAATTTTACTTTGGATTAAAAGCAAAACAAGAATCTTTGTGGCATCCTTACAGAAGTAAAAACACAAAGTCACCATTTCATTTACACTTCTTGTATTTTATCACCTACCCAGCAAGGAGGCGCAGATGTTGACAGAGAAGCCTGAAAGTGCTGATGGTTCATTGTTGTCTGGGAACAGGAGGGTCTTGAAGCTGAACCTCTCCTCCACACCTGGCAGGATGCCCATACTTGGGACACTGATGCCGTCACTCATGTCCCCCTCTTCCAGGGTACTGGCCATCTCATACAGCTGACTAGGCTGCTCGGGCTGGTACCTGAAAGGAAAACAAAAAACACACCATGCTTTTTTTTTTTTTAAAGGCATCCCGACACTGTATGAACATCATTTCAAATACTTGCCAGTGGTAATGCAGTGATAAGAAGCAAATTGCAAAACTAGTGTACTGTTCATTTTTGAGTTATGCTTTCTATATAAGTAATTTTCCCTATTTCCTAAAATGTTCCTAGATGTTGAAGCAGAAAGGCTGATCAAATTATGTTCCAGCCTAGTGCTTGACCAACTTCAATATTTCAAAATTACTTTTTCCCTGACTTCTTGCCAGTGTGATTACAGGCTCACATACATACAAAACATGAACTTTGAACACTTTGTGAAATTGCTGACCTGAGTACGAGGACACACGCAGCCACCAGTGTGTAAGCCAACAGCGTTCCTATTGACATAAGGTCCACCAGGTCCTTCAGGTCGAACAGAAATGCCATGATAGCTTTAGAAAGCAAGACAAAGAAAGGAGGGAGAGTTAAACACACAGCTTTAGTGTCATCATAACAACCTCTGCTTTTTTTTGTTTTCTCTGACATCCCATACGTCTGCGGGTTTAAAAGCCTATTTGTATCCCTAGATGCACAAGTGGGTCAATAATGTATTTGCAATTATAAGTTGTTATCGTTTCATATTCCGGGTATTCCTAAAAAAAAAAAAAAAAAAAATCTTATATCATCTAATTTAAAATATGTTAACAAATCTTTTGTTATCTTTTAAGAAATCTTAGTTTTCACATATGCTAGCCTGCTAACATGCTTAGTGTTTAATCTATCATGGTGGTAACACTTCATCTGCTTAATAGTATTTTTTTTCAAAGCATTTTTTCAGCAGCAGATTCCAGCAAGGCGGTAGACTTTTTTGTGAAGAGATAAAACAAAAGTTAATCAGAGGTAGGTGTTTTTTAAAAACATAAACGCCACTAAAAAGGATTGGTAACCAGGTCTGCTACAGCACCTCCATATTCTTTAGCTTATTAAGCCTGCTAACATGCTAACTGATAACTATTTAAACAAAGCATTGGAGTGCTCAACTTCATTCCCCATGCAGGTTTCTACTCTTCAACTTAACATACTTTTTGATTACAGTTGATTTTCTATGGACTAAGGACTGCACTGTTCTATAGCCTCACTTTATGACCTATCCTCTTAACCCCCCCCTTACCCCCCCTCTTAACCCCCCCAAATCAAACATCAAACCCAGACCTATAAATTCTCTATACCTCCATAATTTTAACACTCCCTATTCATCTTACCAGACATAACCCCGGCGGTCACAGTGGACGTTATGGGGGATTTCCTCTCGCTGACACGGGACAGGAAGGAGAAGAGCAGGCCATCCCGAGCCATGGCAAAGATGATTCGGGGGAGGGGGAACATGGAACCCAACAGACTTGGGAAGGAGTGGGTAGGAAAACATCAGATTGGGATGAAAGTTGTTGGGTGTAGGGTAGGGGACACAGGGAACGTAAAGATTGAAAGAGGTCAGTAGGGAAGAAAGAGGAAGGATTAGCAAAAGGACACTAATACGGTTGGTAAGACAGAAGGTGTGGATTTGGGTTGGAGGTTTACAATAGGGGACAAAATTGACTGCCCTAAACTCGCAGGGGAACGATACCTAATGAAATATACTCTTAGGCTGGCATGCAAACTTTCCTTCCCTTAAAAAGCAAATATTCGGTGCACCACATGCTGTTACTCTCCTTTCTGAAGTGAAAACATCTTGTTCAGCATGCAGTTTAGTTTGGTATTTTAGACCTTATAAACACACCAAGATGCAGGTAGAAACCCCTCTTTCGTTCAGTAAACACAAACTATATCCACTGGCAAAGGTTAGAGGACTTATAAAGTGGAACCTGGACTTTCTGAACAAAAAAACCTGACCATGTAAGAAGGATAAGAAACAGTTAGAGGTGCGCTTTACATGCTGGAGGGCTGTTTTCTGGCATGTTCAATTTCAAACAAAAATTAAATAATTTCATATATGCAGGCCAGAGCATTAGTAGGCAACATGGCACAGCTCAGCCCAGCAGCATGAAAAGCGGCCACAGTGAACATTGGATGCTGTTTTTGAAACATGCGTGTTAGTGTCTCACCTGCCCCTATGCCAGCGGTGAGGGTTGCAGTTATTGGGGTTTTGCTGTGGGGGCTGATCCCGGCCATAAACTTGAAAAGCAGCCCATCCTCAGCCATAGCCCAGATCACACGGGGTATAGGGAACATAGCACCCAGCAGGCTACCAGGGGGGGAAGACCAGGATATATAGTATCCACACTTACACCCACAAGAATGCCGTGAAACATTAGTTAAGAGAGACACCAGCTCGCAAACACAAGGAACATCACACAGTAAACATAAAGCAACATTTACAAAACACAATATGCTTTAAATTGGGCAAGGCATATGAACAAAAGAGGTGGGAAGGATGCTTCCACATATGTTCACACCCAGTAACCTGACCTTTTAAGAATATTCAGCCATATTGAAGTCATAGTCCAAAAAAAGAATGAGCACAATGAAGAACTTATAATAATACCACCTTTGGTAACCATGTGAAACGTGTGTTTATTATCAGAAATGCAGCTTGCTGTTGCCCTCGGTGACATGAGGTCGTCTTACATAATCTCATACTTACACTGACGGTCCCATATGTTCTTAGTAGTGCTGTTATTTTTAGATGCGGGTTCAAATGCCCTCTGAAGTTAAATATACATTCAAACATTCACACACACATACACACAGAAACGTCTCTAGGTGTATGTGTCCCAATCTTTATCACAAAAAAAAAAGGGACTGAAGTAAATGAGCGTGCACTTATATCTAATGGCAAAAACAATGCAGCTGTATGTTACTGCTTACCTAGTGGACAGAGCACACAGAGAGCCTACAGCAACAGCATATTTGGCTCCTCCCCAACCCACATAGTTGAAGGCTACAGGCAGAGGGCTGTTGCTGTCCAGCAGGTAGTAAGGCATCATGAGGGTGAGGGCAGCAGAAACACCAAAGTAGGCTACAAAGCAGATGAGCAGTGATGACACGATGCCAATAGGGATGGCTCTCTGGGGGTTCTTCACCTCTTCACCTAGGATGTGGAGAGTAAACAGAGACAGTGGACAGGGGGTTAAAAGTACAGCTATACTTGCCCAATCAGACAACAACACTCTTTATAGCTTGATTTAAAAAAAAAAAAAATGTAATTCAATTTTTAATTTGCCTTCATATTTCAAAGGTTTGAGCAGATCCTGAATTGTACAGACCAGTCACTCTAGTAAGCGTAGAGAAAAACTGGGCAAACAGACGCAAAACTCTGCAAACGTTTTTGTGGTGTGTTTTGCAACAAATTGAACAAGGAGTTTATTTTTCCTGTGCACCCACAAGACCTAAAAAAAAAAAAAAAAAAAAAAACCATTCAGCTACAGGTGATTACGCAACACAGCTCCTCAGTCAAACACTCACGTCCTGTTCTGCTGTGAAATCACATCGCAACCGATGGAGCGCGTTTGACGCTGTCTGGGTCTTTTTTACACCACTTATCGTGACAGGCAACAGAGACTGATTGGCCCACAATATTAGAGGGAATGGGGTCATATGCATGGCAGCGGTATCAGTTATGATGGTGTATGTGTGCCTATGTCTGCATATGTGTGTGTGTGTGTGTGTGTGTGTGTGTGTGTGTGTGTGTGTGTGTGTGTGTGTGTGTGTGTGTGTGTGTGTGTGTGTGTGTGTGGGGGGGGGGGGTTATGGCCTCATACAAATTTAACTCTAGGTTAGCCAGAACACACACACTCAAACACACAGGGACAGATGATATAATGGCTGTGGAGCAGGCCGAGTGTGTGTGTGACAGACAAGCCCCTACAAGCTTAACTCAAGCAATCATTCAGGGTTAACGTCCCACTAGCCAATTAGAATTCAGGAAAAAGAGGGGTGGGAAAAACCAGGGGGCCCTGAAGAAGGCTTGCAAAAGAAACTTTCCTTTTATTTCAGCCAAGACAGCTTGAATCGATTACACAGCACTACATGCATCTAGACAACCATTCACAGGTGCAAATCTACACAGTGAAGAGAAACTTTGGGGAACAACCTTATCATATCACGATTTGCACCCCTAACCTGCCTTACAGTGCTTGGCATTCAGCCAAGAGAAAAATTAGGCCAAGTGCATTAAACTGCCCTGCCCCTCTTATGTAACACTGGTGGAAGTTTAGACAAGCTCAGGATTGAAATGGTCCCAGCTGCTGATTCTGTTACAACCCCCCCTCCCCCCAAAACTTAAACATACCCATGAGGCAGTGGGAATGAGACATGCAAGCATAGAACAGGGCACAGAGAGTAAGTGTTTCCTGGTTTCATTAGAACTGACCTGTGGTGGCGATGCAGTCAAATCCGACAAAGGCGTAAAGCAGGTAGCAGCTCCCGACAGGACGCCGGAGAAACCAAAGGGCATGAAGCCGCCCACTCCTAAACTCTCCTTGGTAGGCAGGATGCCTGTCAGACTGAAGACAAAAAAACACCCAATAATATTGAATGGATTTTTCACTTTGAAGAGTCAGTCTGTCTAAAGGTCAGAAGTAGTTCCAAAAATATGTAACGGAGTATCTGAAAAACATACATACAATGAAATCACCAAACATATTCCATTTGTGAAAAAGTCATGTCCTTACTTGAAGCTGGTGTTACTGGTATGATTGGCATATAGGATCTCTTCAGGGTCAAGCTGCCAGTTCTTTAAAGTACCTTTGACCAGGCCAGAGACTACCATGAACAACAGCACTAGGACGTTGACACAAGTGAAGACCTTATTCACCATGGCTGACTCTTTGACACCAAATGCCAACAGACCTTAGAAAATAAAGAAGACATAGAAAGAAAGAAAAAAGGGAAAATAAAAGGAGTTTGTCAGAAAAGAAAGAATAATATAAGACATAAAAGTCAATAGAGAGACAGAAAGAAGGAAGTTTCCCTACCAGTGAGGGTGATTATGATAAAAACAGCGAACATATCAGGGTATTCTGCTAAGACGCCCGGTGCATTCATGTACATGTACTCTCTGCTGAACGCCTCTATGCGCCTCCCTAACAGCTCATCGAAGGTGGCGCTCCATGCCCGGGCCACACTGGAGGTACCTAAGATAAAGAAAACCAGTCTAAGTACATGTAAAGGGGTCTATTTCCAGGTTTTTCACCAAGCTTTTAGCTCTGTTTTTATGCACAATTTACCAATGATATAGGAGAGGATGAGGTTCCATCCAGTGATAAAGGCCCAGAGTTCACCTACAGTCACATAGGAGTAAAGGTAAGCTGAGCCTGTCTTGGGAACACGAGCTCCAAACTCTGCATAGCATAGACCAGCCATCACTGAGGCGAGGGCTGCTATCAGGAAAGACAGAACAATGGCAGGACCTATGGGGGACAACAGCAGCATATGATTAGAAGCTTTATAATAAAGGCCATGAGATACATTCTAACCATATACAGTCATTTCAACTCACCAGAGTTCTCACGTGCAACAGCACCAGCCAGCACATAGACGCCGGCACCAAGCGTGCTGCCCACGCCCAGGGCCACCAGGTCAAAAGTGTTAAGGCATCGAGACAGACGGGAGTCCTCTGAGTTACAGTCCACCACCTTCACCCTCAGCAACTGCTTCCCAAATCCCAGAAGACTCTGCAGTGCCATGGATCTCGGTCTGACCTCAGGAAGGGGAGGGGGAGAAGAACGTCTGGGGTTCTAAGGTCACAGGGGAGAGGGGGAAAGGTCACTGACACCCTAATGGGAGGCAAAGGAGAGACAGAATGAGGGACAGTGATATTAAGTTTCTTACGCTTACATTTGACTCCAGTGACTTCAAATCAGCGCAGAACTTTTTGTTCTTAGTATTGGCAATAACATGAGTCAAGTCAGCTCTGTCCTGTAGCAACTGACAGATAAATGGATTGGCCAATATCATCTGCAATGTGATATCGGTAAAAGCTTATATAGCTACTATAATTCAGCGATATGAAATCTTTATTCACAGACCATATTATGCCAAAATCATGGTTCAGGATTAATTAGAAGTGTTTAATCCCTTTGCACTCTTGTTATAAAAACTCTAAGAACGGTTTGCTGCACACATTGGGCAGTGCAGCAAAGCTAAAAATTGGTCAACACAAAAACTGGTTGTATTACAATGTTTTACTTTAATTTAATGAAGTTCAATCTTCTGAATACCTTTTCATGTAATGTTGGTACCGAAGCAGCCCATAGCCATACATTTTTTTTGTCATTCTCTAACTCTTACTGCATTGGCAGCCTTATCCATAATAAGTGAATTCTTCGTCTCTTAAGTCTGTATCAGTATCATCCTCAAAAGTCCAACAAACATCACTGTACATTTAATTAAGATGTCTGAAAGAATCATCCAAACCAAGTAGTCTAAAGACTCGGTTGAACACAAATACACAGAGTGGTTGAGTGCAACATTCATTTGCTGAATGGGGTTCACTTGTCCTTGACAAACTTTTAGTAAGTAGAACAGTTTCCTTGGGTGTTGCATAACTCAACCGAAATCCACAATGTGTGACTGCCAGCCAAGAAACCAAGAGCCTATAGGGATGATCCATCTTATTCATGTCACAGACATGAGTTACATAACACAACTCAAAGGAGAGGAGGCAGGGCCCTCGAACAGACTGTTCAGTACCAACAAAGAGAATCAAAACTCATGACACAGAAACACTTTCTTGAAGCAGACCGTGGAGAATCATCACTGGATACTCCCACACACAGAAGAGGAAACAAAAACAACTAGTGTTAACACTCCACTCCCCCCCCCCCCCCCCCCGCTGAGGGTCATACAGTACTAACAAGAAAATACACCACTTTTTTCTGTGTGCAGAGTAAACAAGAAACAAATAAAAAGATTGGGTGTTGCATGTCCACAAACAAAGATGAGAAGGAACATAGTTTTAACTGTCTCTATAACCTCTGGAGGTCAGACAGAGCGTCTCGTTATTGCTGAGAAGAGTCTTTGGGTCAGTAGTCTGTCCAATATCTCGAGAACATTCCCCACTGTTGAGCTCATATACTAAGAAAGGGAATACTTTATATAATTTGGAAGGCAAAAGACTAGGTAGAGAAATGGAATTGGGGGGGGAAAAAGAGGGGATGGGCTTCAAACAATATCAGACTGCTTGTAAGGCAGAGGTCCAGTCATATTTTTCATAGCAGAGAAACTGAGAACTGAGTGACTACCATGAGAACAGACACCCAGAGGGGTCATGTAGGCAGTGTCACAGTCTTGTCACACCAAATGGAAACTTCCACCTGATGGTAAGCTAGGCCGATGACCTTGCATGCAGACACTCTTTCCTTCAAGAAAACATGCAGGCTTGTATACAAGTATCCAACCACGCAAGTGTCAATGCCAATGTCCAGAGAAAGCAGTGAGTGGTAAACAAACAAAGATCACACTCGCAGCACTCCCCTGGCTAAAGAGAGCGACAATGGGGCAGTTGTCCAAAGATAAGTCACAACAACAACTACAGTTTTCTTACAGTTAGGTAGGCCACAGCCAGGAAACACATTAGAAATAACTCAAAAATTAAGAAGTAACCTAAACCCTGAGCTGAAGGAGCTTCCGCAAGAAACAATTCCATCATGCACTTTACTGTCTACATAATGGAAAAGGAATAACAACACCTTCAGAACACATTCAATCAAGTCTCTCCTGCGTGTTAGCTGCCATCTAGTGTTGCAGAGGTCACTATTGTTTGCATAGCGTCGTTAATCATGAATGGTGCTGCATGTCCGCAGTGACGCTCACTGGATGTTCTTTAGATATGAAAGAATTACACACGTGCATGCTCTCCATTTGTATGCTATTGTTGGACTGCTGACCATCATCAGCCTACAGTGTGTTAATGAGCCTTTTAATTACAGAGGCAACAATCAGTCCAATTTTTGACCATTAGATTGACAGAAAACTCATCAGTAACACTAATAATTGTGTGTTTTTTAAGAAAATTAAGTAAAGATATGTTTGATCCAATGTCTCAAATTTTTCTTAAATGATATGAGAATATTGAATATAGAATAGAATAGAATTACTTTATTGATCCCAAACTGGGAAATTGTGGCGTTACAGCAGCAGGTTGTCCAAACACACAATATGAGCAAAAGACACAATATTAGCAAATTTAAACACAACATATTATTAAATACAAAGTAAATAAGCACTAAAAATATCAAAACTAAGAATGGGAATATAAACAACCAGGAACAGAGTTGTATATGGACAGTATAAGGAGCTGTCCAGAGCTGTGCAATCAGTGATACATAAGTTAAAGTGCATGAGTGTAGACATATTATAAGCAGAAGCTATACACTATAACGGCGAGTAGACAGCCAAATGAAGTGAACATGAGTGCAGGGATAATTTGTAGATTTAACATGTGCAGAACAGATTACAGTATGGAGAGACAGATATCATCATAATGACAGTTCTCTGCTCGCATGAGGTGAGCTGTTGTACAGACTTATGGCCTTCGGTAAGAAAGATTTCTTGTATCTGTCCTTGTGACAGCGGAGTTGTATCAGTCTGTTGGAGAAGCTGCTCCGCTGTTTGTCCAGTAGGGTGTGCAGAGGGTGATCAGATTATCCATAATGGATAACAGTTTGTTAAGAGTCCTCCTCTCTGTCACCACTACAAAAGAGTCCAGCTTGCAGCCTGTCACAGAGCAGGCCTTCTTGATGAGTCTGTCCAGTCTCTTAGGGCAGCTCCAAACACTGGTTTGAAGCTGTGAAACTGTTGAGTGAATGGCATTACTCGCAGACTCGGCATCAGCTGACGGTGTGATGTAAACAGCTATAACAATGGCGCACGTGAATTCCCTGGGCAAGTAATAGGGGCGCATTCCAACAGATAACCGTTCAATGTCTGGGCTGCAGAGACGTTCCTTCACACTAACATGGCCAGGATTACACCATATAGTATCCCTATGAGATTATCATAGCCAATTAAAACATGATGTGGAAAGCAACCGCCACAATTTTTGTATTGGACGTGTGACCTGATCAGTTAATGTAACTGTGCTAATGAAGTCCAAAAATATATGAATAATTATTCTATATATTCTATATATATATATATATATATACTTACAAGTATTTCAAAATATGTCTTTCATTCAGTCTTCTGTTCAAAACAAGCTGTAATGAAAAAAGCAGTTGGAGAAATTGTCTAACGTATTACTGGCTAAAGTAAGACAGCTAAACCAATGCTTTTAGTATTCATTTATTAGTATAGTTAATAGCTGGATAAATCAAAAGCTGATTATTATAATCGTCTGCTATGGTGCCACATTATTGTACAACATTAATAAACACATGCAGAGTGAAAATAATATTCATATATCTATCTATAGCAATCATAAAGCACTTACAGGAATGAACAGACACAGACACACAGAGACACAGAGACACAGAGACACACACACACACACACACACACACACACACACACACACACACACACACACACACACACACACACACACACACACGCACACACACGCACACGCCAAAACAGCAGAAAGTGGCTACATGAACCACATGACCCTGGTCTGACCTGGGCACACTGGTTATGCAACAATTAGGAAGACACATTTTCTCTTAACACAGGTCTTCAAACAAAAGGTGAGTCAGAACAGAAGGAAACCTGACAATTTGAAAGAACCACGTGTTTGCAAATGGACGCATGGTGAAATGCACTGTTAGTGTTGCTGAATACAAAGTCAATGCTACAGCTCAAAGTCAAAGTGGTACCAACCTGTTGCCTCATTTCAAAGTCAGAAAATTTAGTTCTTACCTGAATCCACCTGCAGACACCTGTCGATGTAAGAGTTGTGTTTTACAAAAACTAAGACAGATACAGAGATTAAAAGATGGATTTCTTTAACTATTCTTCAGGCTTGCTGTGAAAAGAGCAGTGTGTTTGACGGCTGCCGCTCCGAAATAGAATCTGGAGGAATCACATGGCTCGGCTATTCCAAGCAGCACACTCTCATGCAACACACAAGCACGGTCAAAATATAGACCATTGGCTGACTGTGACTGAAGTTCAATTAATTTATTTATATAGCATTAACCCTGGATGACATTAAAGTCTTACATAATCACAGATAAGCAGCTGCATCCATTTAAAAAGTCACAGTGACTCAGTTCATCTGCAAAAGCAGCAAAAAATGTGGGCTGTAACATTATTTTAACTCATGAATGCAGTTTTTGGACTGAAATGGTTTTGTTTGTTTAGACTTAGACTTAGACTTTCTTTATTGTCATTCAAACTTGTACTTTACAGTGCAGATAAGAACAGAATTTCGTTGCATTTGGCCCGTTGTAGTGCAGGATAAAAACAGCAACATGTATTTACATATAAAAAATAAAAAATAAAGGCTACAGTTATAAAGGAGGGATGAATGTTTTAGAAATCTTGCTTTATTAATTATAATCCCTTCTTAACTCAGCGCGCACCACCGTGGGTTTAAAAATGATTTGGCCGAGAACAGTGCAGATGAGATGTGAAGAAAGCACAGGCAGTGCTCTTCAGTGGGAGGGAGTGGGTGATCAGGAAAAGGGGTGTGATCCTTAGAACCAATGAAATTAGACCATAAATATTACACTATTTGACATTTAAAGCCCTTCAGTAATAACTGTACTGATATGGCAGTAACTTGATGAAGTGCTAAATGAGTTCCCTTCAGCAAAAATGTCTTTTTCCACCCTCATATCACGACACATGAATACCTGATAGAAAAGGTAATGGAAACAGCTCTGGTGCTGTGGATGTTTTTTTTTTTATTGAGCTGCACTGCATAATGTCAACAGAATAAAATAAACACAAGGCATGCTGATCTACGGTTTGTAGATAGCTCTACAGTTTTGGAGTCATTCAATGCAGCTATAAGCAAATACAGTCACGGTGGGTATCCAGCTGACTGTGTTTACTGAGGACGACGACTGGTCAGCAGCATTGGAGTGTTCAGCGCTACTTGTTGACAATTCCCATCTGTTCCTATTCCATGCTTCATTGTGGACACATGATGCCACCCAGGTCTTATCACTTGGTGTGAGTAAACAGAGTGATGATGTGTTGCTGTTTGACGGCAACCTTGACGATGACAGTTTTAAAGCTGACCTCACTAGTCACCATGAACTGGGCAATGGTCGAGATTTGAGCAGTGTCAGAAAGTGACTTTGTGAGCAGCAGTGGCACCGATTCCTCGGATAAATAAACGCAGTAATGAGAAATTCAATGCAGAAAAAGAAATCACCAGGTGATAAACTTTCTAAAAAAAGAGTATCAACGATCAACTTTAGTAAATAAAACCCTCACTCAGGTGACATTTATGACCACTGGCACTGATATTTCTCAGAATCTGTTTCTCTTCGAAAAACGTATCACTTCTGCAGGTATGCACAATTTGGGTATTATTATAATTACCTAACATCTTAATAACCCCTTGATTAATACTGTGTACACAATGCAGACTATTTATTCATGCATATGCAATCCCTTGCAAAACATTTGAAACACTTTTTTGGGGCAAATTAACATAAAAAATACCACGTGACTGGTTTCCATTGGTTAACAAAAGCTACACTGTTCAGAGAAAATTGAAATCTATGCTGGTATTACTAGGAATATAGGCAGCCTTATGGGACGCATAACTCTGACAGGAGCTGCAGTGACGAAGAAATTTGAAGCCTTAGCATGGTAAAGCCTCCCCTAGAATCTCAGTGAACCTGGAAAGCTTCCATGCACAGCCTTCAGTGCATTTGTATAGGCTACATACATCACTGCAGTCAGCAGCTCGACTCACTAGTGACCCACTTTCAGAGCAGCTAAAGTTAGACCCCCGACTGGTACTGGTCCGATGTTACCCCTGAGATCTGGAAAGGTCAAGTTTTGTCTCTGAATCATTCTTAAAATATAGTCAGATTTGAAATGTCAAAATGTAGTCAGTGGGTTGAATTGCTGCTTTCAAATCTAAGTTGACTGAACCTGGTTGACTTAAAACCTGCCGCTGTGAAACTATCCATCAGACTAGATAAACTGAGATTTAATAACCCCTATGATACTGTTCCTGCTAAATGTGTGTTTAACTGAAATGGATGACACTTTGATTTTTTCCAGAGGAGGAAATAACGCCTCTCTCTTCTCTAGAAGTGGCACTTAATGTAACACAACCCTTTGCCATACCATCACCGTACAGCCAAATGGTAATTTTTTTTACGACACTAAAAGCTGAAACAAGTCCTTTTATGATAATTGTATCTTTTAAGCAATGACCTCTAAAATGCTGAATTGTGAGGTTGTAAACAATGCAACCCTGCAGCAGGGGAATCCTTCACTCTTGACATCTGGATGATTTTCCTCAGGATTCTTTCCATAATGTTGCTTTAGCTTACAGCTACTGTAAATAAATACTTTTGATTTGCTTCATGTTTTGCATGCCTGTGTCTACAATGTGAGGACACTTGCTGCTTTCACTCCAGTCCAGACAACAGCCACAAACTTCCTCACACCAACAGCGACAGCTCAAAGCAAGCATCCAAGGAATCACGTCTCTCATATTACAGGAGAATTGTTACGGACTATGCTTTTGAGTAGACTAAACTGTTAAACCAAAATCCTTTCTAAAAAATCTGTTTATCAGGTAGGCTACAACAAGTCGCAAGAAAATGAAATCATACAACTCAGTGATATTTCGTCTACATGTTTCAGAAGGGTTACAGTAGCACTAACTAAGGAGGAGTTAAAATGGGGTCTGAACTAAAGCAACATGCGGTTAACAGCACGGGGGCTTACACTAAAGTGTCTACGCACCCATTCAACTTTACGCACGGAAATGTTTTCCCAGACGAGAGCTCTTGCGCGCGTGAGTAACCTCAAAACCAAGAACCCTAGGGTGCAGATACGCGGAAGCTTCTCATTACTTCTCATTACATAATCATTTTTCTGTATGTGGTTGTGTAGCAACAAAATGTAATATTGCATGAATAGTTATTTACCTTGTAAACCCTGCGGGAGCGCATGAATCAGTGATCCCAAAGAGGAAAAATTTCGATGGGCGGTCCAAAAAGTGGATAATTGTCAAGAAAGTGAACGGCGGTCGACAAAGTTTGAGAAAAGTCTGTCTTTGCAGGTAGCGAAGGGGAATTTAACGTTTCGGGTTGCTGGGTTCAACGTGCTCAGTTGGGAGGAGGGGGATACAGAAGCAAACAGGCAGCCCCGCCTGCTCATTACCATGCAGAGTTGCGCAATAGCCATCAAGCCCGAAAATGCAATCTGCCAAATCTGCAAATTGAGGAATCCAGCATTGAATTCACACTCACAGCATTGTCATGAAATTAGATCAAGTTGTATACAAATATTTAGCAAACCTTTCTTAATAAAGGGCAAATACGTTGCTGCATGACTGAAGCAAATTCTTCTTTTGTCAAAAAAAAAGAAATCGAGCACCCAGAGGGAAAAACACAACAAAAACAGTTATTTGATTCTTTCTCATCAATCTGAAAAACTATACTTAATTTTGTGGATATTAGGTATCACTTTTGGAATATCTCTATGTTATGGTCAGAATATGCAAACTAGAAAACCATCCAATGACATAGTTTTCACTTAATTACAAGACACAACATTCAAATTGTTATTTTATTGACAGGCAAATAAAATACCAAAACAAAATTCTTACAAATCTGAGTACAAAGCTCTCTCTTTTCTCTGGTAAAGTCAACGGGTGAGTCCGTGGGTGGCAGAGGAGAAATGAAGGGTTGAGTGGGTAACTGAAGAACAATCATACCAGCGGTCCCACAGAACACCTAGAGAGAGCGCCTTGTCAGACTGTGAGGGACATTTTGGCCAAGTTCTTTTTGACACATACCAATGAGAAAAGTATGTGAGGGAAATAAAAGGTGGTGAAGCATTTTTTTTTTTTTTTTTTTAAATTTTACACAAGGTTTCATAGAATCAATTGTGACATTTTCCAAAAAGATGCCAGTAATCCATGTCAACAGCTGTTTACCCTTAATAAATTATGCATTAAAACACTGCTAGCATGCAGTAAAACTGAGCGATACTGTAGAGCTTGCAATACAAGGCCTCATTTCAACATCAGTCTTGTGTGGATGAGTGTGTGAGAACACCTTACTATACACTATTCACAATAATTACACCTAGGTTTCTTCTTTCCAGCATGTACATTAAGACTGCCAAGTTCCAAGAATCCTTTTTTGTGATCCTATGGTTTCACACGTGCTGATCACGACGTAGGATTGATAAAAAGTTGCTTTTCCTCAATCATCCTTCATGACTTCGCTTCCAAAAGTTGCTTGATGTCTTTGACGCCATGCTCTGCTGCCACGGTGACAATGTGGTCCAGGGCGTTCATGTGGCCCAACATCTTCACAAGCTCTTTAGTTTGGTCCCTGTTAGCAGATAAGGGATGTCTTAGAAAGCAGTAAGGACAGAACATAGAGCACAACACAGCTTAAAGTTACATTTTTAAAAGGAGTCATTTAAGGACATCGGTTAGACCTCATCTGTCTCAATGAAACTTCATTAACATCCCACTAGATGGAGCTATAACTGTGTTCAAGTTCCCCCATCCTCAGATGTATCAAGTATAGAAGGGCCTCTTACTTGACCGTGCGTCGCTCCACATCAGACACTCCCAACGTGCTGCGGTGTAATGAGTTGGCCAGGTGGGTGACGTAGCGACAGAATGGCTCCAACTGTGGTAACGTCTGCTGGCCCTTCAGCCCAGAAAACCAGTGCAAGGGCAAACACTCCACCACCTGAAGAAGGCAGATAAAACAAAAAAAGGGAGTTAAGGCTTATGACACAAAGGTGGAGAGCAGCCAATCACATTGACATGGCCCAGGAGGATTGTATTTTCAAACACAAGAACCTCTTATCAATTGTCTGATGCAGGAAAAGAGAATGTTTCCACTGCACAGGTGGCTAAAATAAACCTATATTTATTTTTAGAGACTGTTGGGGCACATCCTGTTCTGGACACACAGCACAACGTCTGAACAGTAGTCAGAGGTGGGTAGACACAGTTTGGGATTAGAAATGTGGCGAGTTGATGTTTTTTTCCTTCTTCTTTGAACCCGTTTAGAGGTCAGACTTGATAATGAATTGTACTGTTCTTAACAATGATGATGGTGTTTTTAGAAACACCACTAAGGGAAGACTGGATTTTCAAATCTTAATCAAACATGACACATCCTCTGTGTTGGGGAGAAAAGGAACAAAACTGTACAATAAAAATCAGATACAAATAATTCAATTGTTCATGTTCCAGCTCCAAGTTCTTCACAAGACAGTGGATTCTAATCTCATCTAAACAACAGAGGGATGCCTTAGGTTTAATGTCACAGGATACACATTTACTATCTCCGTACACATTAATACAACAACAGAGTCTTCATTCATATGACTTGTATTTACAGTATATGATTCGACCTACCTTCTGGCACTTGAGAACATTGTCCTCACACAGGTCTGTGGTCTGCAGAGCCGAGAGGATGTATCTGTTCAGAGTGCTGTCCAAAGCAAGATCCCTCAGACAGGAAGTGGACAGGATACCATCCCACTGCAGGATGTTGCCCAGCAGCTGTGCATAAGGAGTAAGACAAAGATCAACCCCTTTCTATATGTAATGGGAACTAAACTAGACACATATTCAGGATTAATTTGTGTCTGAAGGGATTCATTCATTTAAAAGCAGTTTTTCTCCTAACAACAATCTTACACGTACCTTCACACAGGACCAGAACTGCCTCTGATAGAACAAGTAGGGTCCGCTGTTCTTGTTCTCCAACACGCTGAACAAAAGAAAGTCCGATTTTTGAGCATTTATAAAACTTCTTCATGCAGAAATAAAAACTAGGCAGCATGCAGTATTGACTTTTATGCAACATACTTTTTGGGGTAAAGTGGAAGGAAGACATCTTCATCCAGAGTCCGCCTGGCCCTCAAGACAACAGTTTTCAAAAGCTCCTGGTAGACAAAGATTGGAAAAAAAGATGATGGTTTCTGACAACAAGAGCCAAAGTATTCTGTTGCTTGCAGAAAATGACATTATTTGGATGCATGTAATAAGAGAGTGGACGTACCTGTGTGTATCTGTTGTCCCCATGCAGCACAGTGGGGTAACCTTTCATTAATCTGTGAATGAAGCCCACCAGACTGGCAGTCTGACTGCTGGACAGCGGGTCCCACACTTGTTCTGCCAATACTGACAAACACAACCACAAGATAAATATACATAAAAATACACATGGCATGTTTTGTGCTGACCTGCATTGTTAGGCCAAGCAAATCTTAGTATGCAAGATGCAGCTGTTTATGTTTCTCTACCTGTCAGTTTAGAGAGGATGACCTTCTCCACAATAGCAGGCAGCAAGCTGATATCTCCATCTCCACTCTGCAACGTGCTGTGCTCCTCGAAGCCGTAAAACAGCAGAGACTCGAACCAGAGCATGTACTCGAAATTTGCACAATTCGCCTGGAGAGGAAATGAAAGAACAAACGGCGTTCAGAATACAACCCTCATTAAAAAAAAGATTAATTAAACTCCAAACAAACACTTTTCCTACCCCCAGAGGGTTCCATGTGATCAGCTGCAGACGCACTAAAGGGTTGAAGAGTTTGGGCAGACAGAGGCCTATGTAAGCATCTCTGTAGCAGTCCGCATAGTCTCTCCTCCACACTTCGAAATGGGATTTGATGCAGTCCAGAGAATGAAAGTCTTCCACCACATCCTCAAATGCTTTCTTACACTCCCTTGAGATACGATCTGGATAAAAAGAAAGGTTCAAGTTTAGCACGAGCTGCAGAACATCTCGTGTGCAGGTATTTCTTACATCGATCAACCAGTTTTCCAAATCTCTGTATTATGGGAGTCTTAACAACATGGCTCACCTCTCTCTATGTTGAAGCTCGTTACGTCGGTAGACGTTTCCTCATCATCAGATGACAAGCCTTCTTTATGCTCCGCCCTCTTTCCATTTTGCTCTCTTGCTTGCCGCCGCCGAGTTCTGCACAAAACAACAAGCAAGCACACAGACCGTCAATAAAAACCCACATACAACATTTATTTAACTGTGTACCAACATAGTGTTTAAATAAAGATGAACTGAGGATCTCCTGCAGCAATTAAACATTATTTACAAAGTCAACTACAATTACAAAAGTATGTTTATGAATAAAAGCAACAAAGCCAAAAAACAAACCTACCGGGAAAATAGAATGTTACAAAGAACCCCCCCCAAAAATGAAGCTTACAAATCTCTGAAACACATCTTTAAGAGTGAATGAGCCACATACCGCCGCGCTTCTCTTTCTGCTATCCTCCTTTGACGACTGTGCTCCTGGTAAGCTGTTCGGTCTCGACCAAATGAATCTAGACTAGGAGCCATGACAGCTTTACCTGCAAGAGACAGGAGCCATGTAAGAACCAGTGAAGAAAACCTGAGACGATCTAGCAACTTATTCTGGGCATTAAACATCTTTTACAATACTAGGAATATTTTAAATTGTTAGCATTTGAAGTTAAACAATTCATTACCGGTAATCCAAAATGCCCAAAATAATAATAAAGTAATTTAAAAGCTGAGACAAGCAGAAAGACATTGTTTAAGCTAAAATATTGATCTAAGCCTTTGTTTCTAATGAACAGGAATAAGATATCATATTTGCAAAATTGTTTTGGTTCCAGTCCTTCTCTAGGCACTTACCTTGCTGCGACCGCTCTCATGTTACAGTGAAACTGACAGGTGATAAGTCACTTTCAAGGTTTTTATCTTTACATGACTCATTGATGGAGCCGAGTTACAAGCACCCAGCTGTCTGTCAGAATCAGCCGCTAAAGAGCAGCCGATAATAACACATTTCTCATGTACATGAACATGCCCGCTCACTCAAAATCACACCTGATTTAAGCTTAATCTCAAACATTCGGGAGTTAAGGGGGATAGTGGGAAACAAGAATACGAGCACTCACACACAGACACACACACACACTCGTACCAAAGAACTAACGAGGCTGTTCAAATAAATCATAAAAACCTTCAAGATGGACTGACTTGAAAGGCTTGCAAACTCCGACGATTCATCTTTAATATCATCCTGTCTTCTCTGGACAAGTCGTGAGGCCCGTTGCCTTAGTAACTG